ATCTCTCTCATCTATAGGATATAAATTTCCGAAGATTGTTCTACAAAAGTAGTGTAACGATGATGAGTGGAAAAAAATTCGGTCACAACCGAATATAATTTTTTTTTTTATTTTTTTTTTTTTTTTTTTTTTTTCGTCTTCGTTGCTGTTTCTTCTGCTATATATTTTATATTAGTTTTATCGATTTGATTTAAAGCGTACGGGTCAAAATAAAATCTTTAGATAAAAAAAAGGTGTGAAAATTACCACCGCTTGCCGATTGGCTAAAAACTTTCAAATTACAATAAATTATTAAGTGTTTTTTTTTTTTTTGATTATATACACGTACATACCTGTATGTCATCGCTAGGCTGTTGTATACGTCGTTTCGATCTCTCCTCATAAAACCATATACGAGAACTGTTCGCCTCTGAAAGTGTGCACCTAATGGTTGCATTTTCTCCAGTCAATAACGACAGTGATTTAGGGTCCATTTCTGAAAGATAAAAAAAAGAAAAAGCAAAAAAGTGAATAAATACGAAAATAAGGTTATAAAGAAAGTAAGAAATGAATTGTATTTGGTTTATATCGAATCTTTTGTTACCCATCACTAGCTTCGGAGACTCCACAAAGTATATATATTCTTGGTCAGCATCAAATTGTGAATCGAATTAAGCATGTCCGTCTGTCCGTCTGTCCGTCTGTCTGTCTGTATAATGTCTGTTGTAATCATAAAAAATGAGGCTATCAACTTCAAATTTAGCAGAAACTTTGAAAGTTCTTGCATGCAGGTCGGTGTTGAAAATAGGGCGAAACAGTCGAAAGACACGCCTATAGTACCATATAAGCTGAGAACACCTCTGTCTTTCAAAATAGGATAAAAAATTGATTTCTTATATATATTATATATAAATATATATGCAAACCTCTAAAAAAATGGAAAAATCGGCCATGCCTATTCAGTTTTATGCAGTGTCATAATTTCATTTATTTTTTTTTTCAAAATCTTTCTTACACACAGAAGCAAATGTCAAAACCCTCACAAATTCTTGACCAGTTTCAAATTTCGAATGCACCTAAGCATGTCCGTCGGTCCATCTGTCATTCTGCACAACTGCCTTTCGCAAAAGTGAAGATATCGCCTAAAAGTTTTGAAAGTGAGCTAATCTTTTCAAAAGACACGCCCACAACGCCCAGACGTATATGTAACGACAATTTTTATTTTGAAAATAAAAAAAAAATCAGTCTTTCTTACTCCATACTGTAGAGCATGAATGTATTGTTACTCTACGTTTTTTGTCTTTTTGGCGATGGATATAAAAGAACCGCGTTACTACAGAATATAATTTTCTTACTTGTTGTAAATGGGAATTTCTCTGAAATAATTGTATAAACAAAAGTCCTTATGCGTTACAGTTCGTCTTTTTTAGGCAACCTTTCAGTTCATTATTAAAATGTCTGATGACGTTTTTTTTGCCCTAAAGAAAGCTTTTAGGTCTCCACACGTTCCTTTTAACGACGAAAAAATTGACTGACTTTACTAAATCAATTCCAATACTGATATATACGTACCCTATGATACCTTTTATTCGTATTAATATAATTTAACAAATTTTGACAAATCTAATAAACCCTCAGTAGTAGCTTATCCATATTTGATTAAACGATAGAGCAATGGTTCATTGGCTCGATATTTTCAATCATATCGCATATCTTAAATATGCAGCTTATATGATTCTTGTATAATTTTCCAATACTTCATTAGTAATTTCATCAGTTCCTTACCCCTTGCTCTTGGTCTTAATGGACTACCGTTTCCTATCGATTGTAGAGCAACGCATGAAAAGGTTAACTTGGCTTGCAATCTTAATTGAACTGGAGAAATAAGACGTATTTTTAGACAAAGTGTTTTCTCGTATGCCACATTTTAAGGTAGATGAATAGACGCTTCTAATGCTCAAGCTTAAGCTGAAGTTTTTTAAATTATATACACTATCCAGCTGTAGCGCGTATAAAAATGAAAATAAAATGAAAACAATTGAAGTCTTAATAATTTAATAATGATTTATTATTTTTTGCTTCAAGCATCAGTTATGCTCCACGTAATAAAACAGTTTTATTCACTTGAAATTTCCCGCAAAAAGTACAAATGTACAACAAGTTTAATTTGGTACCGCTTTGCGCAGCACTTATGTGCATAATGGAATCGACAATAAGCTCTCAGTTTCAGTTAAAATTTCCCTCAATTGTTGCTATACTTGGTTGGAATTAAATGTTAAAAAAATCCATGCACTTGCCCGGACAACAATGCAAATGGTTGAAAAGCGGTGGTCCTAAAAAGTATTCGACGGCGGAAACTGAGTAACTAAGAAAAACATATACGTTGTAGAATGAATTTCACATAAATGCGGTTCAAGAGAGTTGTTAAAAAAGATGTTAAGGTCACATGTGTTAACGAAATAATATTCATTTTGAATTTTTCGGAAATTTTTCTTTTTTTTTTGAAACTAACTAAGTACTTATGTAATTTGCAATCAATAACTAAAAATATCTGTTAATTTTATAAAAAACAAAAAAAAAATAAAAGAAATTCTTTATTAATCTTATATACAAACTGAATGAATTTTCTAGAATATGTGAAAAAAATTAATTACCTAAATGTGCCAAAAGTGTGAAATGAATTATTATATATAAGACGCATCAATCCTGCGTCTTAGCTTACCTTGATTTTATTGAACACTTTGAAAAGCAGTAAGCATTTCTGCCAACAACAAACGAAAAGTTTAATTATTTAAAACTCGATTAAATAATTTTGAACTTTCTTCCTGTTCGTTCACCCTAGCATAAAATCTTCAACGTCACGCAATAGGCAAATATATTTGTATATGGGAGGGCAGTTTCATTTTATGATCCTTTGGTAGCACCATAGTTCCTATTCTCATTTTCATTCTTTTCGTTTGAAATTTTAACAATGATTGACTTTTCTTTTGGTTCAAATAACAACTTTATCCCTACGTCGGATTTCCGATATTGAAACTTAAACTAATTACATTGCGTGCCGCAGAGTCCTTCAAATGAAACCTGCCTGCAGATAATGATTTTCGCATTGGGCCTTTTTTTTCATTATTTTTAAAATTTAATTTTTTTATAATTTTCGCGAATTATTCTATTATTCTATTAGATTTTCTCTCATTCCAAAAATGTTATCAGAGAAATTTCTCTTTTAGGCGATTACGAAGTGTTTCGCCATGTTAAGAGCTTAATACGACTTTGTATAGAGAACTTGTAAGAAACGAGTGAGAGCGCTATAGTCGGGCAAGGTATGCCATTAAATACCCTACGTCACATTGTCTAACGCATTTGTTATCTTTATTTTAGAACACAACAATTATTTCTCAAATACGCATTTATGGGGAAGTGTGCCCAAAACGCGACCTAATGTAGTACATGTTAAAACCTTACATAAGGCATGACCCTAAAATAGACGTAGATGGTCCAAATTTTAATGAGTGGGTGAATTTTCATCACCACATTATAAAAAACTTTGACTTTTCTGCTCTACAAAGGGTCAATTTCCGTTAAAATCCTTATTAGGGTTGAATCCAAAAAATAGACCGAGAAGGTCCAAATTTGGTACATTCCATTTTCTTATGTTGATTTAATATTAAAATAAAAATTATACCTTTTTGTCGTATGAACTTTAGTTTCTATTATATGAGAGGGGGTTCAATAATTGCCCTAGCCGGTCTAGAGTTTTCATACCAATTTTAGAATACCGAAATACTACGACTTGCCTACTTTTGCCGACAAGTTTTGAAAATACCAATTTTTTTTCATGTATACGACCTTTCAAAATACGACGTTAGCGGTCGAAAAAGGTGAACCGATCCGAACCATTTGCAATAGCGTTTGTGCTTTGGCCAAAAGACTTCATTATACCAAATTTCATAGAAGAAAAATTGTGACCTATAGGTTGAACACAAATTTAGATGGATAGGTATTAGACGGACATACGGATAGAAAGGCTTAGACCAATTCAGGAATAGATCGGTATAATTAGCCCTCTTACGTGTTACGTACGGCCGAACTGAATTAATATAGCATGTAGCACCAATTGTGTAGGGTGTAAAAATAAAGCGGATAAACTAGAGAAATATGTAAACATTTTTTAGTAAACAGTAACAGTTTTTCTAAGAAGTGATAACGGATTCGGCCCATTTTCAAACTTAATCTGCATATAACAACCGTACGCACGAATACACCTGAAAATATTTTCAACATTTAAGATACACTTCACTTAGTTGCAATCTAAATAAACATTAAAAAATTTACCCCTCACACCTATGAGCGATAAGTTATGTGTTTCTTGCAAAAATGAAGACATGTCAGTGCGGTCGCCATTGACATTAAATACGAGAATCGGTCAGACTAAAACATTAAAGAGAAAAAAAAAAATTTACTTATTCTAAATAATGCAAACACATATAAACACATATGCGCAGATATATGTACTTTTGGTTAATTTATGGACATGAAATACATGAAGCCGTAGACGTTTAAAACACGAGTTATAAAATATTATTACAAGGAATTTGAGAAGGTTGGTTGTTCTTGGGAAATTTGAAATTGTACTCATGAGTTTATAGTAAGAGCGACAGTCACACAAAACATATTTTATTTAATTTGGTTCTATATAACTCGTTGCAGATATTCTCTATGTATGGTGCAGATTATTGTTTCTTATATATACATATATATATATATATGATATTATAATTAATAAATCTGTCATTCATTCCGCAACAAAAACAACAATTTTTTTATTTAATTCACTTTATAGATTTGGATGCTCAACATCGAATACCGGGAAAAGAAAACGAAATAGAAGAAATTTGTTCACGTGTTTCAAACAGTTAGTTACATTGACAATGTTGAGAGTACAATGGGGATGGGGGCGGAGGAAACTGGCAGCTTTATGTTAGTAGTAAGCGGATCTGCGAAACAAATTTTGCCAAATTTCAAACGCGATTCATTTAAATTTTTTCAACTTTTTTCCGTTTTATATTTTGTTTATACTGCAATGTTAACCATTTTTCGTGATTTTACCTTTTTATTTAACCTCTTGTTGAGATGAAATTCGTACCATTGAATTGTGATTTTTAATTTAACGTAGCTTCTATTTACAATTCTTCGAAGATCTATTTACATATTATTTACTAGAACTTACTTTTACAAGACATTAATTTTCTTTTCCAGTCTGGTCTGTTTGTTCGAAAATTGCAATTCAACTCTGTTGACTCGATTCTTACTTGTTCTCTGCAAAACGGCCGCTTATATACCCCTTTTACAAGCAAGTTACCATTGCCTACCCTTACCTAATCTCTTTTTTCGCTAAATTTCTGTTAATTGTTGTTAATCTTTTCGCGTATCGGCCGCTGCCTAAAGCAGGTGAAGCGTGTACGATTGTGTCTTTGATTTTTGCTGATTGTGCGATTT